CTTGGGGGTGTGCTGGACCCGGAGGCTTCGCGGCTGCAAGAGCCCCCTACCCCACCCAGCCTGGGCCCCGGTGTCGGCCGGTGGGGGGCGGGGACGCAAAATAGCTGTAGTAGTTGTAGCAACTGGACAAACATTCCAGGGAATTGCCCGAGGTGTGAAAATCCGAGGCTTGTGTGGATTTTCTAATTAAAATCCAATAAAGGACCCAGTATTGCCATTGTGATTTCTGGAATAAATAGGAGACACTCTTGGAAGAGGGGACACTTCTACCTCGCCCCTCCCTTTCTTCCTCAGCTCCCCTCTTTGCAGCTCGCGGCTGCCCCCTCCCTATTTGCTCAGGTGCAACCCCCCCGCCCCCGTGTGCAATTCACACATGGTCTCTCCGGCCCCGGGCCCCACAGGCACTATTTGCACAGCCAGCCCTCTCCTGCGAGCACTCGAGATGTGTATTTGAATTTTAAATGGCCCGGCCTGCTCGGAGCGCTGCTAGCACCAGTTCTCAAGGCCCCTTGACTACCGCTCTCGGCTGTGGCTCTCCGAGGCTCACTGTCCCGGTGACAATAATTGAGGTTGGGGAGGAGCGCGGCGGGCCACGGGGGGCGGGGAGGTCCCCGTCTTCTTTGCATTCCAATCTCCGGGATCATGCGTTTTGCAAATAGAGATTGCGAGAAAGGATCTTCCTGCTGGAATTACAGAAGGTTTTTAATCTGCTCATTGGTTTCTTCGGCATGAAGTGCGGGGCCGACGGTGGGAGGCCCTCCGGAGGCCCCCGGAATGCGACCCCAGGAGCTGGAGAGCCCGAGTCGTCGAGTCGCACGACCCCGCTTGACACGCAGCGCGACGCGCCCCCGCCCGCGTGCGCGGAATAAGAATGAGCGGCTCCGCGCCGTGTTCGCGCCCGGAACCTGGCGGCAGGATTACCGCTGCTCATTTCGGAGGAGAACTCCAGGGACCCCCGCCAGGGGGACCCCGCGGCCAGAGGCCGCTAGGAGGAGCCTCGCGTTGGAAAGCCGTGGCAAGCCCCAGAGGGAAAGGCGCGCCTAGGGCCGCGGTGGAGCAGGTGGGGTGGGGGCTCCCGTTGCCCCATTTCCCATCCAGAATGCAGCAGGTGGAGTCCCTGGTCTGAACCCAGCTCCTCCCCGGGCTGAAACCGCCAGAGCTGTTGTATTTTCTTTACCAAGGAGATGTCCCCCGACACTTTGAAAGTGTTGTTCCACTAACATTTGCCTTTAAGATGGTTTAAGAAACTCGGGGGAGCGAGGGCAGGAGGTCGAGTTCCTCGGAAATTTACTGTGAACCGCCTTGCTAAAGGCAACAGCTTGTGCTGAGATGCGAGGTGTGCACACCACCCAGGAACCACGAGTGACAGTGCCAGCTCCTGTCCCAGCTGTTCCTCCTGGCAACAGCGTATGGCGCCTCAGGCCAGGGAGGGGACGCCTTCGCCACTGCCCCAGGCCCAGGGCACCCAGCTGCTCCTAATAAGAATGGATGCTGCTAGGCCTGTGGCTCCAGATGCTGTAAGGTTTATGGCTCCTACCAGGCCCTTTCCGAGAGGCTTAGCAAGTGAGTTGAGTTTAGTCTCCACAGGTGCCCAGCAGGAGAGAGAGAGTGCTGCTGCATGAACCCCCACAGACCCTCCTGACTTGCGGTGTGTGGCCTTGGGCCTTTAAATCCTGAATCGGAGGAAGGTGAGATCAGAGGACACCGTCAGAGTTGCCAAAAAAACCCAAAAATAAAAAACCAAACCAAAACAAAAAACACCAGTCTCCTTCCACAGCCTATGTCTCCCAATTTCACCATCTCAGAAAGTTGCAGAATCCTTGCATCTGGGCACAGGGGGGACCTGAACCCATTGTGGCCTGGAAAGTTGGGATGATTCCTGGCTTGGTGGGCTTAGAGGTCCTACAACAGAATACCAGGCACACCTGGTCCTTCTCTCTTTCCCTCAAATCAGACTAGCAGGCACAAAGATGACCTTAAGATCTTCTTGGGAGGGCAGGTCTGGAGTGAGGGACAAAGTGTGGGTAGAGTAGGGGATCCTGAGAAAGATGGAAGGGAGGGGCTCACCTGCTTTCACCGAGCAGTGGATGTGTGCCTTGGACTCATAGTAGACCCAGTCGAAGCCGGCCTCCACAGCGAGGCGGGCTAGCATGCCATACTTGCTTCGGTCACGGTCAGAGGTGGTGATATCTACGGCGCGGCCCTCATAGTGCAGTGACTCCTCCGAGTGGTGACCATCCTCGTCCCAGCCCTCCGTCACCCGCAGCTTCACTCCAGGCCACTGGTTCATCACTGAGATGGCCAGGGCATTTAACTTGTCCTTACACCTCTGTGGAGAGAGGAACCCAGTGGCATACACATTAGCTTGAGGACCTAGTGCCATCCCAGCACCTCATCAGCCAGCTACTTAGCCTGGGGGAGGACGTGCAGAGCAGTGGGGAGACTGGAGAGGGTACTAGATGGGCACTAGGTGGGAAGACGGTAGGGTAACTGCAGGAGTCCTCTTGTATCCAGTGCTAAAGGAACTCACATGGCCAGAGTTTCTCCAGACTAGGTGAGCTGTGCATTTCAGACACCAGGCCCAGAATCGCCCAGGGGCACCCTCAGACACTCTGTACCCTTCCCCTGTGTGTCCCTTTTCTGCACACCTGTGTGAGGTCCCCCTTCTCCTATGCCCCAGGTGTGTGGCTGGAAGAGATGGGGAATAGTAGCCAAGTACATAGGATCCAGAAGCCCTGTTGTCCCTGCTCCGCACCCACCCCCAGCCTATCTTTGATGAGAATGAAGCCAAAGGTGAGAGCTCAGGTGGCAGCTCCTGCTCAGGGTGGAGTCTGCCAAGTGCAAGGCCAGCTGGTGAGTGTGATGCCGGGCACAGGCAGGGCAGGAGGACAAACATTCTTGGTCTGGGCAGCTACATTCCTTCCCTTGGAACTCCTCTCTTCCAGGCCTGTCTGTGGCCTGATTGTGCTTTTGTTTTCTTTAACCTGTTCTCCTCTTCTTCCTCTCTTGTTTTCCTGGGCTGGTTGCAGAATGATATCTGGCAAGTTTGGAGAGCAAATATAAGGGCGGGGGCAGGAAGCTTTTCTAGGCCTGAGGCCTCAGAGCCCTGGTCTGGGGGGTCTCCCCTCAACGACTTCTGCCACTGCCTAGGCCAGGTGGGATCTGGGGCCATGGGAGCTCCTTCCATAATTCTTAGGCCACATTCAGAAAAGGATTCAGTAAAGGTGGTTGAGTCAAGTGTGCACGTCTAGGGCAGAATTAACTCACTAGCCAGATGCTTAAACTGCTGGTGGTGTGGTTCAGAGTTGGGAAGGGGGAGCCAGGGGCAAAATAATGAGGGCTCATCAGGGAAGGGGATCTCAGAGGAGGCGGGAGAAGCAATTTCAAGTTGATTTCTGCAGGAAGTAGGGCCTTCTCTAACCTCCTGTAGCCCCAAGCAATGTGATAGGCGACTTGGAGGGGGTTAGGAGGGGAAAGACTGCCCCTATCAGGGGCCCTAATTACAGCAGGGGAACTCTCTGGCAAAGGGCGAGGATCTTGCAAAGATTTTTGCCTGCGCTTTCTGGGGACTGACAAATTGCGCAACAGGAAAAGTTCTGTGTATTTGGCAGCAATAAAAACCAGCAATGTGGTTGTAGAGTTAAACATACAAGAAATGGAGCGGGGGCAGGGCTGGGGGCAGCCCTGGTAGCAGGTCAGTGCTTGCAGGTCTCTGGATCTGCCAGTAGTTTTCTTAAGAAAGGAAGGAAAAAGTCGGAAGGGGAGGATTTGAGTGAGGTCATCTTGAAGATTGAACACGTTTTACATGAAAATCAATCAGTAAACCAGGGTTGCTTTGGAGCCTGGGTCTGAAGCTAGTGGGCCCAGGCACACACAAGGGTACATACCACAGCATCCATTCCAGCCCCCACCCCACCCACTCCCTTTTCCCAGGAGGGGAAGCAGATAAGGCTTTGAACTGTAGCCCACCAGACAGCTAGGAGAGGAAAGGCAGGGTGGGAAGGACTCCAATCCCTGCATCCTGAGCTAGACTACTTGGGCAGACATGGGGGACCCCAGGTCAGGAGCTCCAAGGCGGAGGCAGGCCAGGCAACCCACACAGGCTGAGGCCAAGGGTCCTCGAGGGGGCACCCAAACGCTCATGCCCTCTCACCTCCCTGTTCCAGGCCTGGCTGGTGGCTGCAGGACGCACCCCCGCCCTGACCAGGCGAGATGGGCAAGGCCGGGTAGCTGAGCGGGTTATTAATTTATCGTGTCGTGTGCCGCGAATCATGCCTGGACCCTGTGCAGCCACCGTGAAGACCAGCAGGGCCGCCGGCCTGGCTTTATGTCTGCGAAGGCCAAATTGTTCCCCAAGCCTGTGCTCCCTCCCACCGCCCGCATCTACACCGTGCACCCTGAGGAGGGAGGCCAGGGGCTTCCCCTGGAGCCAGGGACGTTAAACAGAACCAGTCCCTGGGCACACCTTTCCCCACTCGCCTTCTCCAGCTCCGGAAGCACCCCTGTCTTCTAGATAGAGGGCCCTCCCCAAAGCACTCAGGAGACCTAGGTAGCACTGCATCGCAGGTAGTCCCCCCTCCAGCCCCCACCCCCGGGCCTCCAGGTCCGGGCCCTGTGGCTCCCGCCCCGCTGCCGCCTGCACCCTCTCCTGGCACGGCGGCCTGCACGCGGAGAGCGAGAGCAGGTAGCCCCCTCCAGCCCCCCCCCCCGGGCCTCCAGGTCCGGGCCCTGTGGCTCCCGCCCCGCTGCCGCCTGCACCCTCTCCTGGCACGGCGGCCTGCACGCGGAGAGCGAGTCTGTCTGTGCTTCCCTCTCTGGAGTTAATATTAACCAGCAGCTCATGCGTTCCAGAACTGCGCTGAAAGTTCCGCTGGGGACGATCTTGCCATGGTTGAGGGAGTCGGGCAGCAGTCACGTTAGAGAGACAGACGGGGAGGGAGGCAGACAGAGGACAGGCACACCTGGGCCCCGAATCAGGTGGTTATTGAAAGCGAGGGGCCCGCGGGAAAGCGGGTTCCCAGAAGCGCGCACACCTTCCCAGCCTCGTACTTCCAGCCCGGTCCCTCCGCTCCTTAACCGTCGGACCCAAAGGGGGAGAACTGGGTCGGGGGAGCCAGGGGCACCCTATACCCTGTCATCCTCCAGGTACCCACGACTTAGGGACCGGGAGAGGCTCCTGGTCTAGCTCTCTCCACCCCACCCCCACCATGGTTGTCTCTTCCCCCTCCTTTTGTGCGGGGAACGGGAATAGCCAGTGCCCAAGGAAAAAAAAAGTATTTGTTTTCGTTTCGTTCGTCTGAGGGAAGTTGACAGGAGGTCAGAAGTTCAAATGCTGCCAGCTCACGCGGTGGCTAGAGTGGCCCGGCGCGGGGTCGCTGGATCCCGGGCGGGGTGTACTAGCAGGGGATCTGGCTGGCTAGGGGCTCTGGGTGCTCGCGAAGGCCGGAGGGGTCTGGGGTCTCGACCAACGCAGCCCCCAGAGCCTGCGCTGTGACCCAGGCCGCTCCCTCTGGGTAGTGGCGGAGGTCGAGGAACACGGGTGGCTTCAGAGGGCCGGTGCGCAGCGCGTGGGGCGGTAGGGATGGCGGCACAGCCCATCCCCGCGCTCACTGAAACCGTAGCTGCGGCATCGATCAGCCCGGAGTAAGTGGAGCTGAAATGCGTCTGCCTGGCTGCCTGGCTCGAAGCTCCGCAGCAGGCTGCCAGCCAGCCCAGGGCCGTGGGAAGGGGCGCGGCGGGGACTCCCTCTCCGCCGTCGCCTTGCTCAAAGGTCTTGCGCAGACCTGTTCGTCCGGGGGACCTCGGGTGTCCCCGTCCCCGCCGCTTCCTCCCTCATCGCTTCCCTCTTCTCTGGTCCAAGGGACCCCGAGAAGGCTCCTCCTCTGCAGGGACGGAGGATAACAAGGGACCCCGAGGTGGAGAACTCCCTCTGGCCAGCTGCACGCGCCAAGCGCCCACGGCCCGCGCAGAGTTAATTGTGGCTCGCGCTGCCGTCTGGCACAGGCAAGCGCGTCCACACTAGGGATCCAGATTTAAGGTGGTCGGAAGAGATGCGAAAGAGCGAGGGAGGACCCTCCTCGAGGTTCCTAGTCCTCATCTTCTTGCGAGCTGCGGTCTGTCACCTGGTTGCGGGTGCCCTAGGCCGGGGCACCTGGGGCGCGGCACTGAGCGAGGTCGTCTCCTTCCCTCCCTTCTCTCACCCTCGCGGCAATCGCCCCGCCAGCGCCGCTCCCGCAGCCTCTGTGCGCACCTAGCCCTAAAGGTAGGACTTGAATATTTTAATAGGGCAATAAAAAGGATGTTGACCTATATTTGCAAGGAAACCCATTTCTAGCTTTATACGTGCATGAAGTTTCAGAAAGTCTAGAATTGGCTGGGAGATTGGCAGCCCAGAAGTCTCAAAGGAGGTAGAAAGGATGAGAAGAATTCATGTTTTGCTCGCTTCTTCCACCACCACCTCCTCCACTAATATTTATTTTCTCCCAATTCTTATGCAAGCAGGTTCAAAACTAAAGCAATTCGATGCCAACAAGTTCTAAGTCCCTCCCCCGAGGTACTGCTAAGGGCTCTGGAGAACCCCAGAGCATCCTTAAAGAAATATTAATACGTTCACACTCTGCTGGGCTCCACTGGGGCTGAGGGAGTCCAAAGACAGCTCGGAGGCTCAGTGGGGGACAGACTGGGCACCTCTGCAGCCTCTACCTCTGGTCAGATCAGCCCCTGTCTTCTTCTGGGAGGACCCTTTGGTGGTGGTGGTGGTGGGCAAAGGGTGGGGGTCGCCTCGGCAAAGAAAACCACAGAGGCAAAGGGAAGTGTGCAAGCTCTGCTCTCTAATGCTCAAGGCATGTCTGCACATTGACCTGGATGCCACTTTGTGATTATGGGGACATCCTCACCCTCTCCCTCTATTTCTGCTGTCCCCTTGGGAAGAGCAGACACCCCCAAAAGTGAAGGTCTCCTCAAGTTACAAACCAGAGCACAGCAGGATGGGGGGGCATCCCTTCAAGACTGAGCAAATCAGGGCCATAATGAACCACACGCCCTGCTGCTAGCACCCGCTCACACCCCAAACTTCCTGGACCCTTAACGTTACTCCATTCTCCTCCCGGAAGGGGAGAAGTGCTAGGTGGGCAGGTGGGTGGGGGAAGGAGAGGGTGAAACCGCCAGCCTTCTATCTGCCCGAAGAGCAAACAGAGTAAGTCTGGGTACTCCTTCGCGGCAACCCCTGGAAGGAACGCATTCCACACCCCTCATGGGTTTCTACCTGAGTCATCAGCCGGTCCGCTCCGGTGTTTTCCTCATCCTTAAATATGATGTCGGGGTTGTAATTGGGGGTGAGTTCCTTAAATCGCTCTGAGTTCCTCGAGATCTTCCCTTCATATCTGCCGCTGGCCCCTAGGGTCTTCTCTGCTACGTTGGGGATGAACTGCTTGTAGGCTAAAGGGGTCAGCTTTTTGGGGTGCCGCCTCTTCCCGAATCCCCTGCCGGGCCCGCACGCCAGCCCGGAGCACACAAGCAGCGAGGAGAGGAGGACCACCAGCAGACACCTCGCCAGCAGCAGCATCTCGCCCATGGAACCCGGTGACTTCCAAGCTGTCCCGGCGGTCTGTCTGCGCGATCGGGTGCGCGCGGTGTGCGTGTGCGCCCTGCCTTGCGCTCGGCTGCCTCTCTCCGGCTGGCTGGCTCCCTCGCGCGCTGCTGGGCTCTTTCTCTTCCTATATAACCTTGCCTGCCGCCGCTGCGGTGTACTCTCCGCCGATCTCGGCCCAGACAGGGGCTGCGATGGCAGGCTGCCGGTCGCTGATAGCGGAACACATCGGAGTTGGGTCGGGAGGCAGCAATCAAAAGACAAAAAGAGTCTGATTTTAAATGGTAGCCAGCCTGGAGAGCTTGTGAGACAGGCCGCCTCTCGCACTATATTATAGCTGGCAGGGGCGCATCTGATTGGCCACAGCCGCACAAGCTTGTCTTCTGATGTTAACCCTGAAGAAGGCTACATCCCCCCCCCCCC